CTCAAATGAAGAGGAGGGATGTAAGACCTAACCTCTTCACTTTTCCTTTTGTTATCAAGTCTTGTTCAATGATCCCTGCCCGTATGGCGGGAGATCAGGTTCATTGTTTTGCTTTAATAACTGGCCTCAGATCGAACTTATTTGTCGGAACTTCCCTAATTGAAATGTATGCAATCAAGGTAGGAGCGGGGCTAGCTTATAAGATGTTTGAGGATATGCCTGAAAGAAATGTTGTTGTGTGGACTGCTATAATAAGAGCTTATATTGCTGTTGGTGATATGAAAAATGCTTTTAATCTTTTTAATCAGTTAGAAGAGCATGATGTGATAGTATGGGGCACCATGATTTCGGCTTTCATAGAACATGGAGATATTGCCACCGCAGAGGAGCTCTTTGCTAGTATGCCAGTGCGTGATGTTCAATCTTGGAATACTATGTTGTTTGGCTATGCCAATGGGGATGATATTGGAGCTTGTGAGAGATTCTTTGCAATCATGCCTGTTAAGAATGTTTTCTCATGGAATGGGCTGATTCAAGGGCATGCTCGACATGGTAAGTTCTCGAATGTTTTGAATATTTTCCATCAAATGCTTATTTCAACAAATATTAAGCCCAATGATGCTACTCTTTTGCTCGTGTTATCGTCATGTTCGAAGCTTGGTGCTCTCGATTGGGGGAGATGGATCCATTTGTATTCTAATAACAACGGATTCAATGGGAACATCTACATAAAAAATGGGCTCATCGACATGTATGCAAAATGTGGTTGCATCAACAGTGCAATCGATATGTTCTCTGCAATGGAAAAGAGAGATGTTATTACTTGGAATTCAATGATCAGTGGTCTAGCGATGCATGGAATGGGATTGGAAGCATTAGAGGTTTTTGATCGTATGTTGGATAATGGAGAGAAGCCTGATGGGATAACCTTTGTTGGAGTCCTGTGTGCCTGTGTCCACATGGGTCTTGTCGAGAGGGGATTACAATTTTTCAGAAACATGACAACGAGTTACTCTGTTGCTCCAGGGATTGAGCATTATGGCTGCATGGTGGACCTCCTTGGTCGAGTTGGCTTGCTTAATGACGCCATTTGCTTTGTAAAGGAGATGCCAATGGAGCCTGATGATGTTATTTGGAGTGCTCTGCTTGGGGCGTGTCGAGCATGGCGGCATATTTATTTAGCAGAGATAGCTATGAGTCGACTCGTGAGGCTCGTGCCTGATGATGCTGCCAATTATGTTGTGCTATCAAATATTTATGGTGATGTTGGAAGATGGAATGATGTTGGTAGACTGAAGAAGGTGTTGAGAAGAATGGATGTTGGAAAGTCGCCTGGTTGTAGTCTTATTGAGGTGAACATGGAGGTGGTTGAGTTCTGTTCTTTGGATGTGAGACATGCAAGATCAA